TCCTCGTTCCGCTTCCGTGTTCCTGCTGCAGGGATCTGCCGGGCGCGCGCACTGCGCTGCAGCAAAGACACGCCGAGGTACCAATCCCCGTTTTTATTCAAGAGAGTTAACAATTACAAGTCAGTATATGCATTTTTTTTTTTAAAAAAAAGGCTGTTCTGATAGAAAATCCGAGGACCAAAAAGCCCACCCATCACCGAAGTAAGTACGAGAGATGGCACCCTGCTGCAGGGATCTGCCGGGCGCGCGCACTGCGCTGCAGCAAAGACACGCCGAGGTACCAATCCCCGTTTTTATTCAAGAGAGTTAACAATTACAAGTCAGTATATGCATTTTTTTTTTTAAAAAAAAGGCTGTTCTGATAGAAAATCCGAGGACCAAAAAGCCCACCCATCACCGAAGTAAGTACGAGAGATGGCACCCACCCAAGTAGTGAAGGTGGTCAAGAAACCAGAAAGAAACGTGCTCAGGACAGAAATAGGTGCCCTAGTCTTTCTAGCGTAGGGGCGGAACATCAACACCTTGGGTGCGCTGCCTGCCCCCAAACCCTCAGGCCACTAACTAACGGGGCCAGAGTTTAGAAAGCTGTAGCAGCTTTCACAGCACACAGGGCAGCAGGACAACTTCTTACACGATGTCATTGCCTCCGAGGCTCACAAGTCATGGCTTCACAGCAGCCTCAGGTGGCACTGGCACATGAGTGGATGAGGTGCAAGGCTCTGCAAGATGGTAACTGCTTAGAGGAAGCCTAGATGCATGTTCCAGTTGAAGAGATTGACATAGCTGCACAGGACTGGGCGTTTATTTTCTTTTTTGGCAAGGAAGCCACCAACCCCAGAGGGGATCAACAGGAGGCATGGCACGAGTGCCCCGAAACTGGCCCAATTAGTGACAACACAGTTGTCAGACACGCTCCCCCCCACCCCCCCTCAAAGGGGAAAGAGGACAGACATGAGCTTTGCCCTGGGATCTCCACCCTATGGAAGCAAGTGCTTTAGAAGCTTTCCCCTCCCATCTGATCCCAGAAACACAGAGAACTTGCTCCTCTATAGCAAAGGCATGCCACTTCAGACAGCGTGCTCACCCTGAAAAATTGTACAGAGGGAACTGAGAAGGTCTGTCTGTGCCTCTCGGATAGTTTCTTAAGCTGAAGAAGACAGCCAGCAGAAACACAGACCCAAGAGAACTCAACAGGAAGAGATGTGGGCTCTTCAGGCACGAGATTTAGAGGCACTGCCTCTGCTTAGAGTTGTACAGAACTAGAAGGGAGGATGTTTCCAATCACTTGCTTTGAAGTGAGTTATAGAAAGAACTACTATTGCCAATTCTACTACAGGGGAACACTTCACTGCAGAGTACTCCTGATAGTCTGGCTATCTGCTTCTTCCTTACATGGAAGTTCAAGATTTTTTTCAGCTCAAACTATGTTAATCATTTTGCTGTCATTCCATATCACCAGATGTACACAACTCTCATCCTGTTCTTTGTCCACTGTATCGCCAACCTCCAGCAAAGCAAGTTGTCCAGATTAGATCAGAAACATCCATTTTAAAAAGAGATTATGGTAACTTATCAGTCTCTCCAACACATGCTTTCTCAATCCAGAGACAGGGTGAAATCCAGCAGATAAAGCACAATCCAGACAGGCCTTTAGCACTAGTTCCTGACACAGCTCTTCATATCCTTTGCAGGTCAAATTTTTCCTGCTCCTGGCTCCTTTCATGTGAAAGTTAGCTCCCCAGACACAGAAACAAATGTGAGGCTGGAGCTGCTTATACACCTGTTTCATTTTTTTCATTGCTTTTGAGATTCGGTTCTTCTTGTTCCTTCCTCATCTCCAGCCCTTTCACCCACGTATAGGCAAAGGAACCCCCCAGAACCATCAAGTTACTTGTCCACCACAGGAAGCTCTTTGTCTCCTCAAAATAGACAACAGCCAGCACTGTTTGGGCACAGGCCTTGGCTGTCCCAGAGACATTGTGGGTGAGTGGGCTAGTGAACTTAATCTGGAGTCCAGTCACATACCCAATGGCAAAGCCAAACACTCCACCCAGGGTCATCATGCCCCAAAAGCTGGGGCTCCCCAGCTTGTCGAAGCGGTAGAGGGTGTGGAATTCACCCAGCAGCATCATGAGGGGGAGGAACAGGACACAAGCATTCACATTGTTGTAGAAGGTCAGGCGCCAGATGCTTCCATCCACCACTGGCAGCACCTTCTTTGTGTAGATGGCATTGAGCGAGACACACAGGCTTGCCAAGACCCCAAAGAATATACCAGTCCATGAGAGAGTGCCCTCTGCTCCTTCCTGGTCAACACCCAGCCAGAAGCCACCTGCAAGCAAACAAATCGGGAATAATATGAAAACTTGGTGAAGAACTCAAAACACACAGCCACTGATTAGTGACTCAAGCAAAAAACACCCAAAGAAAAATAACAAAAGAGCACAATTCTAAGCACAGTTTGCCTTAAAGATTTTTCCTTTCTAGTATGTTAATCCAAAATGGATCAGGACTAGCATTCTGCGAGGATTTTTAGGAGTTCAGTTCTTTTACTACACAATCATTCAATTTTACAAATGGGTCAGGACTAGCATTCTGCAAGGATTTATTTTAGGAGTTCAGCTCTTTTACTACACAATCATTCAATTTTAGAGGATTGACTCTTCTACAGAGTAGGTAGCATGACTTTAGAAACAATTATTCCAAAAATCCATTAACTGAAGTTAAAGATATCCTTTATGTACAGATGATTTACAGAAAATGATGTGTTTGCTTTTTTTTTTTTTTTTTTTTTAATTTGACCAGGAAGCAAGTGGACAGAGTAGCAAGAAATATACCACTCTTACCACTCTATGGGGGAAGAAAACCACTTCCACAGCCCACCTAGTCTTAGCTGCACTTTTATAGGAATAATAAAAAATAAATAAAACAAAACAACATAAAAGAAGGAAAGACAGTAAAATGCATGGGTGTTAGCTTTAGGGGAGAAAAAAAAGATCAAGAGAGAAACTGAGCGCAATGTTTTCACCATGTTTAACTTCCTTGAGAGTCAGTACATTCTTTAACCATCTCTGAAACAGAAGTTACAAACTTGTCTCTCGACACAGCAGGGAGGCTCCAGGGAAGGGAGACTTCCCCTCTTCCAGCTCATAAGAAAACCCTAACAGGGGACTTCAGTTTCTGAAGGAACACTGAAGCCAACTGATTGCATCACCTGGGAAAAGTCGTAGCTGTTAGACATGCCCTCCTGTTCACCCCTTCTGTTGGGAGGAGAGTCTTGTAAGTCATTTGCATTCAATCCACCTGCTTGTCTTAAGTACAGGAATGTACACATATCCACCCGGAACTGGACTAAAAAAGAAATCATTGTTCTTGGCATCTGAACAGCCATGAAGTGAAAGGTTGTGCAGTAAGTTTGGTCCACTAGCTAATCCTTCATCAAGAAACATTCATCTCATCTCAACTGGCAGGCTCCACTGCATGCTCCCAGTGGCGTTTACAGTTATCAAATACCGTTGTCGCTATCAAAGCTAATAATGCAACAAAATAGGGAGAAAGACAACAGTTGTTTTAAAACCTTTGTGAAAGAAGTAGCAGCAAGTTCAGGCAAATTAAACCTCAGCAGAGTTCATAGTTACTTAGGGAGCAGCAAAGTGGGGTGAGGAGGGGGCTAACAGGAGAGCAGTCAGGAGAGAGGAAAAAAAAAAAAAAAGTAATTTCATCTGTTAAGGATTGTTACCAACATACTCTAGATAAGCAAAGCATATTGTCCAAAGTAGGGTAAAAAAGAAACCTTGAAGTTGTGCTGTTTCTCAGGGAACAGCTATGTACAAGGAGGGAGGCTATGAGAGAGGAAGGACAGTTTTGCATAGCTCAGCATTCAGGGGAGTCAGCTCAGTGCCCCCGTCTGAGCTTAAGGCCGGAATAGCACTATCAAGCCCCAGTGTCCTAAAGGTTCACGGGTCACATCAGGTGGTTAACACTCCCACAGCCTACTTTTTGTTTACAACCAAGGGGTCCCGAGCAACATCTGAAGATAAAGAACATGAAGCTCTTGGCAGGAGTTCAGTATCCCCCTATCCTGCCGGGGGACATACTGCTGAGTGGTTGGAGGCTTGCAGTGAGCACAGCATCACAGAGAGCAAAGAGGCCTGCCAAGAGATGTTCACTCCCTAGAATGAAGCAGCACAGCCACAGAGTAAGAGACCAGGACCCCAAAGCCCAGAATTAATTGGGCCTCTCTTCTGTCACCTGCCCAAGCTCAGGAGAAATCCCGCCTCCAGCTCTCTGAGGTTGCAGGACCTCCTGCATGGCACAGTGGGTCTATAGGGACTGTACGGGTCTGCAGAGCCCCAAGGCCGCCCAGGCTGGGCAACCCCTTGCCCCTGCTCACCTATGATGACGCCGCAGGCCAGCAGGGCGTAGAGCGACGTAGTCTGCTTGAGGAGCACATAGGAGAGCAGCACATTGAAGACGGTGGTGAGCGAGCGCCCCACGTTGTAGAAGGCCACGCCTACGTACTTGAGGCAGAGGTTGTTGGAGGTGATCATGCCGATGAAGACGATGGAGAGGGGCAGGACACTGCGGGACACCTTGGGGTCAAGGCGCAGGGTGGGCAGGCTGGGGCAGCTGGAGTGCCCACAGGCAGTGCCCAGGCTGAGCCCCAGGCAGAGGGCGGCCGTGACGGCGCACTGGAAGAAGGTGACGAAGAGCGGCGCGTCGAGGCGCAGCGAGGGGCTGTCCAGCAGGTACTTGTTGAGGAAGACCATGGTGATGGAGGTGAACCAGTAGAGACAGACCACGAGGGCGATGCGCAGCGCCCGCAGCACGAAGGGCGCCGGCC